GGTATCGTATTACTAATTGAGTATTGGTGAAGATTTGAATGTTCTTTCAGCTGAATCGAATCGAAACAAAAAAAAACATTTGATTAATGAAATTGGCTCACAAAAGTTTAATCATAGAATTCCACCTGCCAGAAACCATACCTTCAATCAAATTATGAAAATATTTCTCATTTAGATTATCATATGTGTGTAATGCACTGTAAATCACTCTTCAAGTTTTTTTTTGGTTCAATTCATATGGAATAGTTGAATCCATACAAAATAGTGTTTGGTTGTCAGGTCTATTAACCAAAATAACTGGACAGTGAAAGAATGAAAGAAAGAATACTTTCTACCAGCGTGTCCTTGACCAAACCTCTGGGCATTGATATTTCAGGGATTATCCATACCCATTTACATTTGTCTGGACTGGAATGAGGAAATATTACTTATCCAAGGTCACTCGACTTTCACACGTCGACCGAGATTTGAACCCACAACCACCAAAAACCTCTTTAGATTATTTATTGTCATTAATTTGTATTTTTCAGGTGTATTTATTGTGATAAGTATAGTGATTCCTATTGAATATGTAGGTTCGGATTGGAGGGATGTGTGTATGTTATCCGGATTTTGGACTATTGGTGTTTATAGTTTATCCTTACAAGCTTACCTTTTACAAAATTGGAAACTTTTAGCTTTTGTGTCTGGAGCTTTTAATTTACCTCTTCTTGGACTTTATTTGTAAGTATATAATTGGAGAAACCTTTCACAGCAACCAAATATATTTTAGTATCGAAATATATATAACAATTACAAAAAGTAATCCTTTGGTATATGAAAGGAACAAGTTATAGATGAACAACAATTTTTATGGATAGATACTTCTTGAATATTTATTACTTTCAACGTCATCGTCAATGTAATTCATGCCGTGAAAACAATAAGTACAATAAATATTCCAGAATATAAGTTATTTTCTTACATAAAGAATGATATTTTTTAATAAAAAATTAGCCGCTCATCAAATTTTATTACCCAAATGGCGATTAAACCACACTCTTACAAATTTCTGTATTTTCTTTTTTTCAGTTTAATTCCTGAAAGTGCTCGTTGGTTACTCTGTAGTCATCAATATCACGCTGCAGAGGCCTCTGTAAGAGACATGATATCGTGCAATACAAAACCCGTGGCTGAGTTAGTCGCTTTATTAGACAGCGCCCGGGCCAGTGTTTCCAGTAAAATGCATAGGAAAAGATACACTTATATTCATTTATTTCAAACATTAGATTTATTTAAATGGACTTTAGCCTTAGCTTATTCTTGGTAAGTAAAGAGACTTGTGTAGCATCTCTTTTCTTCCTAGGATAGCATCAAGAATGTCTCAGGTCGTGGACTAAAAACCGTGGAGAAATAAACCGTGAAAACTGCAAAATGTTCAAAGCAAACAATGAAAATAATGCAGCTGTCCTGACAATGTTTCCCTCATTACACACTGCGTGATATGAACCGTCATTAGCCCAAAAGAGCGGAAAAAAGTCAAATTAGATATTCGTTGTCATTTCATTTTATTCCACTGACAAAAAGTGCCGAAAAACGATACATGTAATTATGATGATTATCGTTTCACGTCCTACTCGTGTTTTATTTTATTGTATTTTATATTTATTTCAGTTTGATAACATCAACTGTGTATTTTTATTTATATAATAAGATTGGATCTATTACTGGTAATAAATATATTGATAATAGTCTACCCTTTCTCGTCGACATTCCTTTAACTTGGAGTGCTATTGTCGTCAATAAATGGTAAGTTGTGATTTTTTTCGGGGATGGGAATGCCCCCAGACCCTCCCCACCCGTGCACACCTGTAGCTACTGGCCTGAAGCAGTCATGGAACTCTCTCAATTTCAATATTATATTAAGTTCTTATATATCGGGTGCTGTGAAACCGCCTTATCAGTTATGTCGCCCCTACTCGCTACTTCTCCCACCCCCCAATATCACCAACCTTAACAATTGTCGGTACTGACAAAAGATCAAACAATATCTAAATCTATTTTTTGTAATTTTAGTTTAGGGAGAAGATGGTGTACATTTTTATATTCAGTAGCCTCGGGGTTCGCTCTGCTATCTGTAATGATTCTACACATGACGGGTAACTTACAGTCAATTCCTACACTAGTCACTGGATTATGTTTATTTGGTAAACTTGGTGTTACTGCTTCCTTTTCACTTATAGCTGTCATAGCTGTGGAAACTTATCCTACTGTTATAAGGTACGTACTGGAAAAATATACACCTAGACATTATTAGCATATCAAAAGAAGAACAAATGAAAATGCGTCCATCAGGAGAAATCAAGTTGACCTTCCCAATACCCACTTCATAATATTATGGAAAGAAATCGCTAAGAGTGCAAGTCTAAAAATCACCTCCCTTTAAACCATTAAACCATACGGTACCAGAAGAAAAAGGCACATTATCATTCTCTGCGCGTAGTGGTGGGTGTCGCCGCGAAGCAGACCACGCCAACCCTTTTCGAAACATCTATTGCTATTTCAATACAATACAAGATTTACTCTCGATGTTGTCATACTTTGGACGAGATTTTGATTAACGAAATTGTCTTGCTTGTACGACTTTTAATTTTATATAAAACATTCACAATTTGTAATTTGTTGCTTTGATTTGAATTTTGTTTATTGTAGATGTATGGGAACAGCAATTGGGGTTGCGTTTACAGCAGCTGGCTCCATATTATCCAGACAGTTCAAATTCCTGGTAACTATTTTAGTTGAGTTATATCTTATTATGACAACAAGAGTTACGTCCCATCGATCCTAGTTGCATCGTCGTTAAAAATATGGCCCCTTATCCCCCGTTTGGGGGTGAAACTTTATTCATTAGATGTTTTTGTTACTTTCAGGATACCTTCCATTACACCATACCTTTCGTGGTGTTCGGTGGTTTTATCATATCAGTTGGATTTAGTTCCTTAATCTTACCAGAATCCATTGGTCGACCGTTACCTAATATACTGCCCTGTCGACATCGTAAGATACCTTTAACTGAAGGTGTACCGTTATCAAACCCCTGGGACACCCTGTAATCAATATGCACCACCTTGATATGATGATATTTTATACAACGATACAATGTGTTAGTTTTTAATTGGATATTAAATAAAATGGATTAATTACTACAGTATTAGGTACGTACTTATATCGGCATCTTCGCAATGTCAAGGCATTGTGTACTGCGTTTAATACCTTGACTGTCGTTGCTGCTTTTCTGTATCATGGGAATTTGTAAATAAAGCGATTTTGTTGGATTGTACGCTAGCAAATACAGCCAATCACGCGTATTCAGATTATTTACAGTCTTTCTGTTGAGGGTTCTGGTTAGACGCAGTTCGTAATAGCTTGACATTGTGAAGATGGTGTACATGTACTGGGTGAGCCAAAAAAAAATCACAGTTTAAAATTTACAAGGAATTTTTAGTGGATCAAAAATAAAGCTATAATTTGGTGAATAGATGTATAATATATAAATAATTATGAGTTTAATATATTTTGGTCTTATTTTGGACAATTTATGAAAAGTCCTAAAATGAAAAAATTTCTTTGCCACTCGATATATATTATATATCATCATTTATCACTATTATTACTATATAGTGTGTTTGACTAGAATTATTATGTAAACAGTCTGGTCAATATTGTCCTTTCTGATGATTCTCTTACCTTGACAACAAATACATTAGAATAGTCCGAAACTTATAGGTTGGTCGGTAGATGGCAAGTTTATGTCCGCTTATAAAAACTCTCAAGAATGCTATATCATATAAGCTCTTGTAGATTTTCAGGTAGCGCCTTTTATATCCAAAACAACCCTCGACCGCTGGAACCGCCTACTGCATGATATTGCCAATTAAGAAACAGATATATATATATATATATCCAAAACAACCCTCGACCGCTGGAACCGCCTACTGCATGATATTGCCAATTAAGAAACAGATATATATATATATATATATATATATATTATGACATAAAACTCCTTTCCATTTCATTTCTCCCAAGTTAATATTGAATTGCCATTTTTTTTCTATTTCAGAAATTTTCTACCTGAATGTGGATGCTTTTAAACGTTTTATTCGACTTAAACTTTGTGTAAATAGCTTAGTATGTTTGCCTCCGTCCATCGAAAATAAAAGTAATAGGTGTGCTCTTTGAGGTCCGCCCTTGACTAATATATGGAACAAATCAAAATAATCGGTGTTCTCTGTAAGGTCCACACTTGTCTATTATATGAGGACAAATCAAAGTAATCTGTGTTCTCTGTGAGGTCCGCACTTGCCTATTATATGAGGACAAATCAAAGTAATCGGTGTTCGCTGTGAGGTCCGCACTTGTCTATTAAATGAGGACAAATCAAAGTAATCAGTGTGCTCTGTGAGGTCCGCACTTGTCTATTATATGTGGACAAATCAAAGTAATCAGTATGCTCTGTGAGGTCCGCACTTGTCTATTATATGTGGACAAATCAAAGTAATCGATGTTCTCTATGAGTTTCGCCCTTGACTATTATATTGGGACAAATCAGAGTGTGAATGACCTACTTAAAGGGATAAGGTCACGAGCTGTTGTATCTTAGTAGACCGAAACATCTTCCTCTATTCCAGCTTCTGAAGGATATTATGAAAATTGTCGGCCGATAGACTGGATGTTTCGGACCACTATTTCAGTTAGTCCTTTGTGGTGAGATTTGACTTCTTAGACGCATATTTCCAAGATTTTACAGTGAAATATATATGCCAGTCGTTTTGTGGGTTAGACCAGAAGAAAGTTCAAATATTGGACTGAGTTTCCAAAAGTCACACTCGTCGCAATATTTGGTTAAAAAATAACGAATAGTTAAAAATACATTCAGTTAAAAAGCATGTGAGAATGTTTATATTTTCATATCAGCATCTGGTAGCTATTTTGAAAATTGTCGGCTGTCAAATATCTATCAGAGGCTGGAAAAAAGGCAGAAGTTTCGGACTAATTTTCTTATATGCTTGGCCCTGCAGATTATGTTCATTTTAGCATTTTAATCTCACCTGCATGTAAAAGTTCAGTCTGTAGTCAGATGCTTTGTGTAAATGGCTTATTGTTCTGTTGTATATGTGTTGAATAAAAGATACTTTTACAAAATATGTTTTTTTTTTAAGATGGCTCCCCTTATTTTCATTTATAAAAGTGAAAATGCTAAAACTTATATAAATAGAAAGTAGATGTGTTCTAATGATTTGGAAAATACCAGTTTGTCTCACATGTTCATAATTAATTCATAATTAGCTAAATTAGAAGAGAATTATCAGCAGAATTCCAATGAGTGACCGATCAAGAATGGTTAAAAGGTCTTTTTTTGTTTATCCAGACTGTACATACATGAGCATTTATGATTGGTTAAAACTCTTAATTATATGCAATAAGAATATAAAGATATGAATAAGAATACATGATAATTCATTAAAAACACCAATTTGACAAATAGTTTGCTTAATTTGACACTAAAAAGGTAAGGAAACCTATCTTTAAGAGAAGAATATATATAGGCTGACTGGTAAGACATTTGAAATACCCATCTCCATCCTCACATAATTCATTCATCCTACGCTTATCTGAATTGTGAAATATTACATTATGGATGGATGGTTTAATATACCACCATTAGGCTATGTTCGTCAAAGGGTCATTCAAAGGAAATAAAATGGAATTTTAATCCTATTTTCTACAGGTGACTAGGCTTATAAATAATAGCCACATCAAGCTAAGTTAACCCGCACAATGAGCAATGAGGAAATGTTTGCTTGGACACTGGCATTACTCTTCTTTTTAGCAATTTCTGGCGGTGTCCCAGAGTGTCTGAAGATTGTATCTTTTTTTCTAGCACTATTTACACCAACAATATTCTAGAAAGAGTTTATGGTCAAAGAATGAATCAATAATAGCAAGTAAATGTCTAAATTTGCCAAATGCTTCATATTTTCCCTCGTTGCACACTGTAGGCGTTGCCCATCTTCATAGTCCAATTAGGCGCAGAAAAGTAGGACGTAAAAAACTCCATGCATTTCATTTCATTTTAGATGTATGACTTTATCATGCCTGAGACACCCCGACTCCGCATTGTCAAATGAAGATATATGATATTAGATACTGTAGGCTATATCTTATCGTATCAGTCAGTGTTGTGATCAGTCTTAATGATAATAAAAGACTGATATACCCATGTGACCAGTGTGGTCATTCTATCGGATGGTCTCTGAATGCACAATCCCCTGGCAGACTATTGTCGCATGATAGAGTATCACATGTCCAATGCAATAATAATCCATTGTCCACATAGAATCCGGGTCCGTTGCCCTGAAACCTGGTCACCCCTTTTCATGTTGGCCCCTGTTCATGTTGGCCTCTGTTCATGTTCGCCTCTGTACACGTTTGCCCTGAGTTCGATCGCCCATTTTTACGTTCGCCCTGAGTTCGTTCGCCCTATTCAATGTAATATTATATGATCATCTGTATATAGTGATTCACCTTCAACTCCATAAAATACGATTGTATATTTCTCTGTCCCAATTATATGTCACAATGCATGAAACCAAATTTTATCGGGGGGAGAATCAGAATCTCAATCAATGCGATCTAAGCAATTGTTTCTCAAAACTTTATG